CTAAATCACCTCTAGATTACTTATGATATCTACTATATGTTAATAATGTATGAGTAGTTATTGTGCTGTATTTTTAGGGAATAGTGACAATGAAGAAAGTCTGTGCATATTTAATACAGGTTTGTTTGTTTATTTTTTCCCTTCAAATATCTTCTATTCTATAATTGGTTGAATCCATGAGTGTGGAATCCATTAAAAAGGATTATAAATAGTATTTTGACATCTTTGTTCCTTTAAAGACATGCTTGGCAGAGACCAAGCCTACACAGAAGTCAGGAGGAGATAACCTATTTCAGAACATTTGACTCTGGTTTTTGTCACTATTCAAGATACTTTGGGAAGCAACATGTCTGACAGGCCTGACCATGGCCTTCTCTGAGAAAGTATATATCAGGGACTTGGGAGGTGGTTCAATATGTAAAGTGTATGTTCTGCACATATGAAGACCTGAGATTGGTCCCCGGAATCCATATCAAAGAACCAGAGAATCCATATCAAAGAACCAAAGAATCCATATCAAAGAACCAAAGAATCCATATCAAGGATCATGCACTTGCACTCTCAGTACTGCTCAGGGAAGAACGAGGAGGAGGAGGATCCCTGGGGCTCCTTGGCCAATCAGTGTAGCCTACTCAGAAAGTTTAGGTTTGAAAGAGAAGGGCCCCCAAAGGGAGTGGCACTATTAGGAAGTGTGGCTTTGTTGAAGTAGGTGTGGTCTTGTTGGAGGAAGTGTCCCTGTGGGGATTGGCTTTGAGGTCTCTTTTGCTCCCTGTGGTGACATGGAGACCATTTCCTGTTGCCTTCTATCAAGAAGTAGCCAGCTTCACATCTGCCAGCACATCACCACACTCCCTGCCATGATGATAATGGACTGAACCTCTGAACTGTAAGCTGCCACCTCAATTAAATGTTTTCCTTTATAAGAGTTGCTGTGGTCATGGTGTCTCTTCACAGCCACAGAAACCCTAACTAAGACAAAGTCCCAGTGAGAAACCTTCTAACAAAATACAAGGTGGATGGCTCCTGAGGAACAGCACCTGAGGCTGACCCCTGGCCTCCATGCACAGGTGCGAGCACACACCCACACCTACCCCCCACAGAGTAACAATCCAAAAAGAATCTCTCTTCCCCTCCCCCTTCTTTTGTCTGTCTTTCTTTCTCTGCTCCGGATCAAACCAAAAGCCTTATGCTTGTTAGGTAGATGTTCTATCACTAAGCTCTATCACCAAGCAGTATCTTAAAAATAAACCTAGAAACCCACCCTGCAATAAAGAACCTTTCTCCTGTGCATCCAGTGCTGTCCTACAGGAATGTAACCGGAGTCATAGTCACCATGTGGACTTCCCAGGCGTCACACTAAACAATACACACAATAGTTACGATTGATTTCAACATTTCATTTTAGCTAGTCAATCCAGAATATTATGGTTTTCAATATGTAAGGAGATAAACAAGGATCAGTACAATCTTTTATATTTTTTATACTAAGTCTTTAAAATCTGATGTGTATCAGATCTCAATTTGGACATAAAGTTTTCATCAGAAGTATCTGATCTATATTTAAATTTTTTAAGATTTACAACTTAAAAGATATGTGTATGCCTTTTTTTTAAAAAAAAATCACATTTATTTATTTTGTGAGTGGACAAACTTATAGGGTCAGTATTTGTCCACTGTATGGATCCTGAGGATCAAATACTGAACCATCTCACTAGCTCCCATACCCAAGTCTTTTTGCAAACATACTTAATTTTTTTTAAAGATTTGTTTATTTATTTTATGTATATGAGTGCTCCATATGCATGCATGCCTTTATGCCAGAAGAGGGCATCAGATCCCACTATAGATGGTTGTGAGCCACCATGTGGTTGCTGGAAATTGAACTCAGGACCTCAGGTAGAGCAACCAGTGCTTTTCACCGTGAACCATCTCTCCAGCCCTTAAACTTTTCTCTAATAATGGAATTATGTGTCAGTTCCAAAATAAAATTAAGTAAAATTTAAAACTCAGTTTCTCACTCACAGCAGCCAAGTTTCAAGCAGTCACCAGCCAGAGGCGGCCAGTGCTGCCATATTCGACAGAGCACCGGAGGTTTTCTGTCCCAGCAGAATGTTCTGTTAGACATGCAGACCTGTTATCAGGCAGGGTCCTGTGGACTCATGAGAGACCCTTTGGAAAATGCAACCCTTCAAATCAAAACAGCCGCCAGATTGCCAATTAGTACGTCTAAAGCCATGCAGCAGCCTTTGGCACTGTTTCCCAAGAACACTTTCCTCCTGGGAAGAGAAGGAGCTCTCCTGCTGAGATAAAGACTACTCTGCTGCCTGTCCCGTTTTCCTCCTTACATGAATAAAGATGAGTTTTCAGTCCTTATCCTAGAATACCCTGAGTGAACGGTCACCACCATCACCTTGAGAATGTGATCCCCTTGAGAGGTTCTGCAAACAGCCAGAAGCTTCAGGACTGGCAGCGCCTGTCTATAAAGAGCAAACACTGATGTCTAGATCCAAGGACAGCCTTTATAAAATTAACCAAGCCTCCCAATGAGCTTCCGGTCTGCTCCTCTCTCTCAATAGTCCCTATTCATGGGGCAGCTCTCAACAGAAACAAGGTCCTGGAGGGCAGATGGAGAGTTGCAGTGTCTGGTTCCACAGGCCCCAGTACTAAGTGTCATACAGGGTGTACTTGCTACCTTCTCCTCAACATCCCTTCTCTACTCCTCCTCTGTTCTCTGCTTCCCATTGGCTTTAAAGTTCCCCCTCCCCAGCAT